AAAATATTACATACGTATCCAAAATTATATAATGTATATCTAGAAAATTATACTTATAGATCAAAAACTACGTTTATAACATATAATAATCTTAAAGAAATTATTCTTTGATTTTGCAAATGCAGGAAATACAGCAGGCAAAGAGCCATTTGTTAATCTTCAGGTTAATAGTTCTCTAATTAGAATTTGTTATCTAATAATTAATTACCATCATCAAGTAATATGTTTTTTTTTTAAAAAATTTTTTAGGGATATTTAATTGGCAGTCCTGGAACATTTCGTCCTCAAGAAGACAATTATCAAATACTTTTTAGCTATGGCATGGGACTTATATCTGATGAACTCTATAAGGTTAAGTCATAATTAATTTGTTTTAATTACTTTCTACATTATATATAATTAGGTTTAAAAATTGACATGTCAATTTAACTTGAATATTGATTTTTCTTAACAGTCATTAGAGAAGAATTGTGGAGGAGAATATACAAAAATAGATCCCAACAATAAAGGATGTGCAAATGACTTTCGAATTTTCAAGCAGGTTATAACTTATAAGTATTGTTTTACAGTATTAACGATTCGATTGATGTAGTTTAACAAGGTTATTTGTTAGTATTTTAATGTCAGTAAATTAACATATAGTTATGCAGTTGGTAAAAAACATTAATGGGGAACACATATTAGAGCCCTTTTGCAAATATGATTATCTTCAAGGCCCATATCAAATATCTGGTGAAAGAAGATTACTTGATGATAAACTCATCTCCTTGCAACATCAAGACAAGTGTGCTGTAAGTTCTTTATAATAATAATAATAATAATAATTTTTGTGGGTCTTTGATTTTCGTCGTTGAGAGATTTTAATATCTATAGTATGTCAGAAACGACAATTGGGGCGGTTAGACTTATATTTTGATATGCTCCCCGCATATATATAGATGTTCTACCTATAATGTCCGATGATAAAGAAATACTACTAAAATAAAAAAAAAATAATAATAAAAAATAATATCAAATAATATCACAAATGGTTATTCAACTCTAGATAGTTCGTTTAGAAAGTCACATAACTTTGTTTAACACAATTAAGTGACTTTAGATTATAAAATAAAATTGAGTCTCCCAGTATATATATAAACGTTCAACCTACAATGTCTGATGATAAAGAAATACTACTAAAACAAAAGGAAGAAAAAAACGAAAATATATATTTGATAATATCACAGATGGTTATTTAACTCTAGATAAATAATTTATAAAGTCACTTAACTTTATTTTATACAATTAAGTGACTTTAGATTATTAAACAAAATGAGTGATTTTCTAAAAAAAAATACCATCATCCGAAATTATCTCCTGAAAATTTTGAAAAAAGAAGAAGACAGATAAAAATGAAGAAAATAATCCATAATGGACGGGACTTTATCCTTATACAAAACATAATTTATTATTTTGAAATTCATAAAAAAATTTAAGGGAAAATTGTGTGAAATAACAAATTATTAATTTAAATTAAATGATATAGTCATAATTTATTTTAGGGAAAAGGGTCAAATATGCCCCTACACAATTCGAAAAGGTCTAGATATACCCCCGTTTAAAGTTTGGCTCACTCATGCCCTCGCCGTCCAACTTTTCGTCTAGATATACCCTTATGGGCGTTAGTTGGCATGCTGGAAATATTCAGCTCATTTTACATTTCTTTAAATTCCTAATGAAATTGCCACGTCATTTTTACATTACCACGTGACATTTATATTAAAGGAAAAAGAGTCAAATATACCTCTAAACTATTCGAAAAGGTCTAGATATACCCCCTTTTAAATAAACTATCCGACCCGTTTTCAACAATTTTTTAAATTTTTTTATTTTTTTCGGTAAATCCCAAAAATGATTAATTGACTAATCAAAAATTGGAAAAATATGAAAAAATTAAATTAAATTAACGCCAAAAATTCACAAATAAATATAGTAACCTTAAATTCAATAATTTCAACAATTTTTTTAAATTTTTATTTTTTTCGATAAATCCAGAAAATGAGTAATTGATTAATAAAAAGTATGAAAAATATAACCTAAAAATTCAGCATAAAGTCATTTTCATATTTTTCATATTTTTTATTAATCAATTTCACATTTTCGGGATTTATCTAAAAAAATAAAAATTAAAAAAAATTATTGAAATTGTTGAATTTAAGGTTACTATATTTATTTGTGAATTTTTGGCGTTAATTTTATATATATTTTTTTCATATTTTTGCCATTTTTTATTAGTCAATTACTCATTTTCGGGATTTACCGAAAAAATAAAAATAATTTTTTTTTTGTTGAAAACGGGTTGGGTAGTTTATTTAAAAGGGGGTATACTTTTCGAATAGTTTAGGGGTATATTTGACCCTTTTCCCTTAAATATAAATGTCACGTGGTAATGTAAAAATGACGTGGCAATTTCATTTGGCATTTAAAAAAATGTAAAATGAGTTGGATATTTCCAGCAGGCCAACTAACGCCCACAAGGGCATATCTACACGAAAAGTTGGACGATGAGGGTATGAGTGAGCCAAACTTTAAACGGGGTATATCTAGACCTTTTCGAATAGTTTAGGGGTTTATTTGACCCTTTTCCCTTTATTTTATTTGTAATTCGCAGCAAACATCCCACTTTTTTGCCATCTGATTTGGTATACAATAGCCATTTTCGATATACAATTACTCATTCTGTATACAAATGTATAAAATGTATAAAATGTGTTTGTGTTTGTAAAAAGCGAGAGAAAAGTGTATTACAAATACATATATTTTCGTCATATACACTTATAATTATACAAATACAGATCTTATTATACAAATTACAATATATAAATGAATTTATACAAAACTGAACAATTTGTATAAAATTGGATGTATCTAGCGAATTGTACAAATCAAAAGCTCCATAGCAAACATAAAATTTGCTATGGAGCGCAATTATACAAACTATAGATATAAACATATAAATATAATTTATATGTTTGCTATATATGAAAGTTACTTTTTTTAAAATACATTACTGTTGTATATAATTTAAATGAATAAATAAAATACTACTAATCGTAGAAACTTATTCTCAATTACTTCAGTCTGATTGGCGCAAGCATATGAAGTATTGGGCTAATGACCCGAAAGTTCAAGAAGCCCTTCATATTCGAAAGGTAAGTGGTTTACAATATATATATATATATATATATATATATATATATATATATATCATATAATTATTTTCTCCATTCATTTTTACTTATTCAATATTAATTTGACACACTTCTTAAATATCAATAAATAAAATAACAATTTTACTATATCACTTAGTTACTCGTTATTTTACTCTTCACAGGGAAGCATAGGAAGCTGGGTACAATGTAACAAAATTTCAAAGTGTAGGCTCTCCTCCCAACTACACTCTCACAGTCGATAATGTTGTACCATATCATGCAAATTTAAGCACTAAAGGTTATCGATCACTTATATACAGGTAATTAGTACTCAATATTGTTACGTTTGTGTCTATGCAAATTTTATATACTTGGCATGAGATTAAAGTTATTGCATGATATATGAATAACACGAAGTAAATGGAAGTTTCATCATGAAAATTATTGTTTATTTTGTTTGAAACTTTTAAAGTTAGAATTGTATTTGATCATACTTTTTGCAAATAATGTTTATAATTTGAATGTATTTTTTCTAATATAATAAAAGTGGTAACACGGTTTTGAGTATTTTCTAGATTCGAAATACAAATTCAAGTTGTATTTGAAATTTTCATGACGAAATACTAATTTCATAAAAAGTAAAGAGAATTTCTGAAAATAAATAAATAAATTTCATGATTAAGCGGGTCCTAAATCTCACCTAGTGCTACAAAACTAAAAAAAGATTATACTTAAAAAGATATGTGAGCCCCTGCGAAAATATACAGAAGAACTTTATTCATGTCATTATAATTTTATTTTTTGATGTATTTACAATAATTTCATGAATATAAAATGGAGGTTTTTTTTCTTCTCATGTTTAAACAGTGGCGATCATGATTATTCGGTACCTTTTCAATCCACACAAAAATGGATAAAGTCTCTAAACTACTCCATTGTTGATGATTGGCGTCCATGGAACGTAAATAATCAAGTTGCTGGGTAATTAATCTCCAGATTTAACATCCTTAATTACAATTATGAATTCTTAAAACTAATTATTATTATGTGAGTTGATAATGCTTAATCATTTTTCTAATATCGCATCCTTGTAGTTATACGAGATCTTACTCCAACAAAATGACTTTTGCAACAGTGAAGGTATGAAATTAATTGTAGAAATAATTTTCATGAAAATTGGAAAATAATTAATTTATCTCAATTTAGTCAGGTTGAGCTTTATTTAAAGAGACTTATTTTAACTTTATATTTGTATTTAACTTTATGTGTGTTTTTTTTTATAAAAAAAATAGGGATCGGGACACACAGCTTGTAGATACAAACCTGAAGAATGTTTTGGTATGTTCAAAAGATGGATAAATCATGATCCTCTATAAATAGTCCTCAATTTCATCTATATATATCTTCTCACTATTTTTATTTTCATGAAACAATCTTTTCTTTAACTCTTGGAAATCAATTTTACTGCCCACAATATCATTGAAAAGAATAATCATGTATTAAATTGTGAATGAATCAGATATTATGTATTTATTCTTGGATTCGTATTCATAATATTATCTACAGTTATGCAATCTTTCTTTGAGCGTTCATAAATGCATTTAAATGATCTAAAAATGTTAATTAAAAAAAAAGGTCTAAATTTGAAGGGAAGATGTATTACTCCTAAACACACTGTATGAAAGTATCTGATAAAGGCAAGTTACATTATTCGATACATGATTTTAAGCTTATGAGTTCTGAATATCAAAACAGGATAACAATTGATTGGAATAGATTAGACATACATTGGATTCTGTCCGCCGTAGATTCACCCCTGCTAATTATCTAGGTCTTTTCAACTAGAAGTGCATGCAAGTCTTGAATGAAGTTATCGATGTAGTTACTCATGAAGCCAGGACTTGAAAGAAGTTCCTTCCATTTCTTATGATTCTCTTTCACAAGACAACCGATTTGGCTATCTTTATCCATCACACATTTCACAGCCTTGCACAAATTCTCTTTAGTAAACAAATCATTTTCATCCTTCTCCACTTCTACACCAACCTTAAGGTGTTGTTCCATCAGCCTAGCATTAAAAATGTGATCAATAGGCCTTGGCAAAAGTACCAATTGACAATCACACAGTGCCAAAGACTCCCACATCGACCCATAACCACAGTGAGTCACAAAACAACCAACTGATTTGTGTCTTAAAATCTCCAATTGTGGCACCCAACAATCAAGAATCAGTCCCTTTTCTTGAACCCTCTGTTTGAATCCCTCTGGCAAGGCTTCTTCTACTGAATTTGTCCCTTGAGGTGGCTTAACAACTAAAAGAAATGGTAACTCAGTCAGTTCAAAGCCTAAAACAAGTTCTTGAAACTGTTTCTTTTCAAGAATCAATTGACTCCCAAATGCACAGAACACTACTGATCCTGGCTTGAATTTCTCAAGCCAATTCGATAATCTGTGTTCTTCTAAAGGCTCCTTTTTCGGCTCAGAAATAACAGGTCCTGTGTAAAGGACTGGCTTTTCAAATTGTGTTGAGATGTAGTCACAAAAGTTTCCTTCAATCTCTCTACATGTTTTCATAGCTATTGCGTCACATCGTGTCATTCCCTTCTTAACTCGTTCATAAAATGTCACCCCCTTGCCATATTCATGAAATATAAATGACAACAACTTAGCTTCACATTCGCGCAACACCACAGTAGTAGAAGGGTAACCTGGAGATCCAACAATTGACCACATCTTTAGATAGCAAAATAGAATAGCAATTATTCTAGCAAATCATGGCACTATATGATACATAATAGTATTACTAAATTACAGTTTTGGCGATTCTTCCTTTGGTTGTTCCAAACAAGCTATAGAAGCAGTTGCGGAGTCAGGAAATTCAAATTTGGGACCTAAAACAACTTAATGTCTTTTGCTTACTAAATACTATATAGCCCGTGGCGGATGCAGGTTTGAACATAATATACTCGTTCAGTAGAATTCAATAGTTTTAGGGTGTGTTTGGTATGAAGGAAAACATTTTTCGAAAAATGTTTTACAATTTTCTCATGTTTGGTTGGGTTAAATGTTTTGGAAAATGTTTTCCAAATCAACTCATTTTCCTCAAATTTAAGGAAAATGACTTCCCTTCAAAACTTAAGGAAAACATTTTCAAAACTCTCTTCCAACTTCTAATTTTAAAAAAAAATTGTTGAAAAAATCAATTTATTTGATTCCTACCCTCAAACCAGCCCTGCCAACCACCCCCAAAAAATAATAATTTAAAGTTTGTTTTTAAATTCAATATTTTTACCCCACCCTCACCCCTACCCCCACCCCTACCACCACCCCTCCCAAAAAAATATTAAAAGTTGTTTTTAAAAGACATTTCTAATTTCAATTTTTTATTTTTTTACACCCCCACCTCCTACCCTCGCCCCAGCCCCCTATCAGCCCCCCACCCCCTTCAAAAAGAAAAAAATTTAAGTTTGTTTTTTAAAAATATTATTTCATTTTTTCACCCTTACCCTCGACCCTCCTACCCAGCCCCCACCCACCCCCTACCAGCCCCCCCACTCCCCAAAAAAGAATTAATTTTTTTAAAAAAAATATTTTTGACTTCAAAATTTCATTTTTTCACCCCTACCCTCGCCCCCCCCCCCCCCCCCGCCCTACCAGCCCCCCACCCCCCAAAAAAAAATTTTAAGTTTGTTTTTAAAAAATATTTTCGACTTCAAAATTTCATTTTTTTTCCACCCCTACCCTCGACCCCCCCACGCCCCACCCACCCACCCATCCCCTACCAGCCCCCCCAAAAAAAAATTAAGTTTGTTTTTAAAAAAATATTTTCGACTTCAAAATTTCAATTTTCACCCCTACCCTCGACCCCCCACCCAACCCAACCCCTACCAACCCCCCCACGCCCCCAAAAAAAATTTAAGTTTGTTTTTAAAAAATATTTTTAACTTTAAAATTTCAATTTTTCACCCCTACCCTTGACCCCCCCACCCACGCCCTACCAGCCCCCCCACCCCCTACCAACCCCCGCACCCCCCAAAAAAAAATTTAAGTTTGTTTTTAAAAAGTATTTTCAATTTCAACAATTATTTTCTACTCTAGTAAAAATAAAAGAAATTTTTCAAAAACATTTTTCATTCATATATCAAACACTAAAAATCTTTTTCGGAAAATATTTTCTACTCACCAACCAAACATGAGAAAATAAGTCAAAAATCAACTTGTTTTCCAAGAAAACATTTTCTAGGAAAACATTTTCCTTCATACCAAACACACCCTTAGTCTGAACTTCTTATTTGTGATAAAAAAATTAACTACTAAACATGTACAAAATTAAATTAAGAACATCGCATATATTTATTTATACGGAGAAGGGTCTAATACAAATATACCCTTCGTTTACCTTTTGGCCACAAAATGCGATTAACCTTTGTGGCCCTATTATATAAGGAATATAGATATATTCACTTTATATCTAATATCTTGTTTATGAACTATAGTTTGCATATATTCAAACAAAACTTCAGCTACAAATGAATCTAATTTCAAACCATGTCCAAACAGAACCTAAATTCGCCTTTGAATATAACTACACCAAAAAAGCACAAAAAAAAAAGAAAGAGGAGGAGAAGGGTGACCTGGTGGTGGCTTTACTAATTCAGCTGCAGTTGATGCCATAAAAATAGCCTTATCCGGTGATCGAATCAATGTTGCAGATGATACAGCAGGGCAAACAACTCTGTAAAACAGAGTTTTGATGCCCCCAATTTCTCGTGCTAAATCAGGAATCCAATAAGCAAAATCAAAGATAACAAAATGGGGTTTTTGATTTTGAAGAAAAGATTTGATTTCATCAAACAATTCATCCAATGCTGTTGCTAATAGACTCTCCAAAGATCTATGAACATCAGCTGTAGTCTCTGCTCCATATGGAAGGCCATCAACATGAGGTATTGTCAGTTTATGGAATTTGATGAGATTTGGATAAAGATTGAATTTTTGAAGTCTAATTTCAGCATTTTTGGGCAACAAGAATGAGATTTTATGACCTCTTTTTGCAATTTCATTTGACAGATTCATATATGGGATTAAATGCCCATAAGCAAGCCATGGGAACATCACTATTTCCAGCTTTGACTCTTCCGTGGACTCTCCCATCTTCTTCTTTTTTTCTCTTTTGCCTTTGATGAAACGCTATATCTCTTTCAACTTATTCGCCGAAAAAGGGTCATATTTGTTTTTTTTATTAGAGTTGATAGTTGGTGGGTTGGTGGATACGGATTTGGGTATCTTTTAAAATTATTATGGATGGCTTAGTTGGTTCTTTATGATCATCAATAAAATAATATACAGACAACTGTTATCTCTTCTATTTTTACATTTAAGTTGTTAGTAAAATGGCTATCAATAATTTAGGAATAATGGAAAACTTATTGTTGAAACAGCGAGTTTTGCTTCTTCTTCAACAACAACAAGAAGTTGCTTCCCGTTCTACTATTATCTTCCTGGTTTCCATGGCCACCTTCCGTTCCATCTAAAGGCCGAGTGAGCTCGATTGAATTTATTTATGTATTTCTTTGAGAACGAGAGGATCTTTATTTCAAAACTTTGTTTTCATGGTAATATTAGAGGTGAAGTTCAAATTTATCAAATATAAATTATCATGATGGAGATGATTTGTATGGATGATGGTAATAGCCACTGTGTTTTGTAGAACAAGTCTACAATGAGAGTGAGCCCTCGTTCGTACCAACCCCACACCCATATCAATTGTTTGGTGAAAAATGATTACTTGATGATAAACTCGATATCCTTGCAACGTCAAGACAAGTGTACTATAAGTTTTTTTTTTCTATAAATATTTCTGATTTTCGTCTGAGAGACTTTAATATCTATAGCATGTCAGAAACTTGGAGGTGGTTAGACTTATGCCCTAATATGCTCCCAGAATATATAGGAGTCTATGGTTCTAGTGTTGTTGTTGATGGAGGTACACATCCATCTTGTTATGAGAAACAATATACGAGAAATAAATAATCAACCTATTACTCTTAGAACTTAGAAAGTTAGACAACTTTGCTTTATACTCTTAATGGAGCGACTCTGGATTATAAAATAAAGTTGAGTGATTTTCTAAGTGATTTTTTCAGAGTTGAGTGATCATCACAGAAACTGTCTCCTAAAAACTTTGAAAAAGAAAACGACAGATAGAAATGAAGAAAATGATCGATAATAGGTCGGGCATTATCCCTTATACAAAACATGTTATGTCATTTTGGTAGTCTTAATAACATTGGATTTAGTGACAATTAACTAATTAATGTCGGTAAAAGCTTTAACACTCTTTGTTAATATGTACATTTATTACCGCTAAAAGTTATTTGTTGCTGCAAAATTACTGATACACTAAACACAGTACATTATCACAGAGCATCACCTTTTAGGGAATGGGCTACATGTCAAATTTTGGAAGAACAAATAAATGGTTGAACAATGCCACCCTCTACCAGATAGCTAATTCTTACCTTGACTCAAACCTAAAGTGCATTTGTGTAAACTACGTCAACAAAAGACATCCTTGTATTATTAGAAAAATGGCAATATTGAAGGTGAAAAATGTTTACCATCTGAACAACTCTCTCTCGTAACAAGTAGCATGTGAAAGGTAAAAAGGACGAGGAGCTAGGAACCCCACAAATACAATAATGTCATGAGAGTTACCAAGTTGCACTTTTAACGTTTGTGAAGAAATGAAAACATTGTTAATTAAGGTTCGAGCAGGATGGTGGTTAGTCTTCTCTTTTTCGGTGGGCGGCAAGAACAATTTATAAAAGTCTCTCACTCTAGGTAATTCTTAGTCGTTATTTTTTCCATAATAATCATTCAACAAGAAATTAAGGAAAGAAAAAAGAAGAAAAAAAGATGATTATATCTCACGTGGTCATTTAACTCTAGATAGTTGCTTGGAAAATTACTTAACTTTGTTTTATATCCTTAATTGAGTGACTTTGGATTATAAAATAAACTTGAGTGATTTTCTATGAAAAATACACTCATCCATTTGAGAAATTATCTCCTAAAATTTTAAAAAAAAAGAAGAAGACAAATAAAAATGAAGAAAATGGTCGATAATGGATCGGGCTTTATCCCTTAAACAAAACATGTTTTGTCATTTTGACAGTCTTAACATTATTATGAGTATATAAAAAAAATTGTTTATTACTGTCAACGTATATGACTTAAAAAAATAAATAAAATACTACCAATCGTAAAAACTTATTCTCAATTACTTCAGTCTGATTGGCACAAGCACATGAAGTATTGGTCTAATGACCCGGAAATCTAACAAGCTCTTCATATTTGAAAGGCACGTGGACTACAATATATACGAGTGTATCTATCACATAATTAACTATTTCAGCCATTCATTTTTACTTATTCAGTATTAATTTGATACATCTCTTAAAATCAATAAATAAAATGACAATTTTACCATATCACTAAGTACTCGTAATTTTACTCTTCATAAGGAATCATAGGAAGTTGGAGTAAATTGTAGGAAAGATATGAGTGGAGGCTCACATCCCAACTACACCTTCAAGGTAGATAATGTTGTACCATATCATGCACACCTAAGCCCTAAAGTTTATTGATCACTTATATACAGGTAATTAATATGCTATATTGTTACGTTTGTGTCTATGTGAACCTTATATATTTGGCATGAGATTAAAGTTATTGTCTAATAATGGTTATAATTTTAACTCGCATGATATCTGAATAACGCAAAGTAAGTGGGAGTTTGATTATAAAAGTCAAATATGAGTTGGAGTTGTATTTGAAATCAAATATGCTTGCGCCAATCAGATTGAAGTGATTGAGATATAACCAGTGCTACAAAACTAAGAAAAGATATGTATCCCCTACAAAGATATACCAAAGAACTTTTTTCATGTCATTAAAATTTGATGTATTTACAATAATTTCATGAATATAAATTTGAGGTTTTTTCTTTTTCATACGTTTAAACAGTGGTGATCATATGAATCCCGTGTGCTGAGTCGCACATGAAGTAAGCATCACGCTAGACGAGTGGCAAAGTAAAACCAATTTTACTGTCGCTCTTTTAGACCTCTTTGATATCATTCTAGGGCAGGAGTTCTTCCAAGAGTGCCACATGGTGATCGATCCTTACCTCCAACGACTTCTGGTCATGGAGCAAAAAGGGTCATGTATGGTACCCCTGGTTAAGGTACCAAAGACGGAAGGACAAGTCCGACTAACAGTCATGCAACTCGTGAGAAGCCCTAAGAAGAAGGAACCGACGTTTATAGCCACCATTGCAAGTTTGAAAAAAGACAATGGGGCTAAAGAGTCCTTGCCACCATACATGGAGAAGGTTCTAGAAGAGAACAATTTCGTGATGCCAGAGGAGCCGCCAAGGCACTTGCCTCTTAGGAAGGAGATAGATCATAAGACCGAGCTAGAATAGATAAGGAAGCAGCTAAGGGAGTTGCACAAGGGCATTGACCGATTCAATGGACTACTAGTTCCGCATACAAAAAGACAAGACTCGATTGTCCATGCAACAGCAATGCGACACGGTCGTCGCATCAATAGGTGGGGGAGACTGTCATGACCCGCCACCTTGCCCTTCAAATTTGGTATAAAATAAGGAGGAAGAATCTAGAGTTATGGAGAGGTTAGTGGAAGACTCTAGAATTCCTCAGATCTTTCCTTAGAAGACTCTAGAATGCTTAGAAAATATCTTTAAAAGTCTTAGAATTCTCTAGACTAGTAGAGAATTCTAGAGGAGGGACTAGATATTTTCTATGAAGGCTTTGGAATTCTCTAAAATTGGAGAGAATTCTAGAATAGGACTAAAGTGTAAATATTGTAGGGATTTATAAAGTAAATATTATTTATACTTAGGCCTCTAGGAAGTAGTATATATAGAGGGCCTCCCATTTGTAAATTCATCCAACCAAGTTGTAAGCAATCTTCCACAAAGCAATACAAAGCCTTATTCCAAAACTTCCCAAGTCTTTCTAAGTCTTTCTTGCATTCTCTTAGCGATCTTAGTTTTCTTGCATTCTCTTAGCGATCTTAGTTTCAAAGGGCTTACTTGAGCTTACAAGATCTTGAAAGATTAGTGAGTAAGTTGTCAAGTGCCGCACGGAGCTTTAGTGAGACTCTAAGTCCGTGACAATAGTCTTAAAATAGATGATTCGGAAGTGTTAGTTATTCATTCTGATCCCAATTAACCAAGTTGTTAACTAAATACTAATGCATCACACGCAATAGTCCTTATAGTACAACTTACCATTTTAACACACTTTCATTTATCCCATAACACTTGCAAGCATAGTAACAAAGTTGAACAATCTAAAAAACGTTTATCCCATAACTAACAAACTTGAACAGTCATAAGTTTGTCTTGGAAGCACAACTATGGTATATATTCAAAGAGAACGTATATATTCAGAGAGAGAAATAAATGGAGCCTTTCATCTGATCACGCAATTTATCATAGCATTTGAACAAATCAACCTGAAAACAACAAAAATTAACTGTTAGAATATGACAAGATAGAAAAAGAATTAAAGTGAAGACCGGACACCTTGCAATGTCAAAAAATCCTTGTACAGGCATGTGAAAAAGTTAAAATTGATTTTTTGGGAATATGATAGATTGTTCTAGTAATGTTTCTAGAATAGTGTAAGATAATATCTAGGGTAATTATCTTAAAGAATATCTAGATATCTAGAAGATAAAGTTCACTAGAATTTTCTTTGTAGAAGTATCTAGAAGAATTTCTAGAACCATCCATGAACAAGTATAAATATGGGTGGTCTTGTACATTTGTAAGCAACCCAAACCCAAGCAACCTAAGAATAACTCAAATAAAAGAGTCTTCTTCTATCAACAAGTTCTCCTATCCAAATTATTCCTTCTCCTTTCTAGCTTCCTCTTCTTTAGTTGAATCTTCTGATCTTAGTTAACGATCTTGGGCAAGCAGAAGGGTTCTCCAATTATACTTTTCTTCAGTTATTCTCAACATGGTATCAGAGCCATAGTCATTCGTTGACTTCTGGATTTTATTTCAAGATCGAGTTAGTGGTAGATTCAACTGGTTTGTCTATATGGATTTTAGTGGT